GGAGGTTCCACTGTATTAGAATATAACCTGAAGTGGAATAAACTGCAATATGTGACAATTGATGGAAGAAAGAACATGTCTGGGGTGAAGAAAGGTTTGGTTGGACAAATCACAAAAACTTGTGAGGATGGTGGATTCTCAAAGCACATGTTTCTGCATTGCTTTATCCATCAGCAAGCATCGTGTGGAAAATATGTGGGTACGTCTCGAGTTCTGAAACCTGTGGTTTCAACAGTGAATTTTATTCGATCTCACGGGCTTAATTATCGCCAATTTCATGATTTTCTGAAAGAAACTGATTCTGAGTTTGTTTACTTGCCTTATGATAGTACAGTATAGCAGTTCAATAGCTTAGTTTTGAAAAGGGAAGGAAAAAAAAACAGGTATATTTCCTTACATCAAGAACCCCTTCACTGACCTGATACACAAGCTTTGACTAAAAACCAACTATAGAAATTTTTAAAAAATATGCTGAATTTATTTCCTACACCCAGATCTTTTTTGACATTATCTTTAGTGTCAGTATTGACCCGGTTAGTTTAAAAATTAAAAAAAGTAAACCATCAGTGGGACATTGAAGCTTGTTTTCTGATTCTCCCAAAAGAAGATTAATTTCAAAGCAGTTACATTGATGTTTAACCCTTAACCCTTTGAGGGTCGACAGGCCCTCTCCGAAACTCGTTCTCAGGGTCGGCCAAATTTAAAAAAAAAAAAATTATTTTCTCTTATGAAAAGATAGAGAATCTTTTCCCGATCATAACGACACCAAAAGTTTGAAATTTGATAGAAAACTTACGGAATTATGCTCTCGCAAAGTTAGCGGTCTCGGCGATGTTTACGGATCGGCGATTTTGCCCACTTTGAGCCCCATTTTCGGCCAATTTCACTGTACTAGTCGACAAAAAACATGAATATTTCGCTAGAACTCCATTTTTTCTATCGAATGGTTGCAAGAAACCACCCATTTATAAATTCAACTATCCAGTACAGTGGTCAGAATTTAGCAATTTTGCCAATTTCACACAAATTTCAAAAGATGCCAATTTCGGAATAGGGTCCAGAATAAACAAGAAAGACATTCCTGGCACTAAAATGACATTTCCTCTAGTCATTAGTCACGTCTCAAGGCCCCTCTTATATTCTTTTGCTTTCCACTTTGAATTTTTATTCTCACAAAAAATATAAGATTTACTGTTATGCAGACTACTGCATTAGTGTAAAAAATGGTATAAATATTATTGGTGCACTTGTGAAAGAATATTAGACTCACCAGTTGACGTGTATTGCACGCTTGGCACGATTTGTTTACTTTTGAAGTTTGGTAAAAATCGAACATTTCTGCTACTTTGAGCTCAATTTCAAGGCACCTTTCATTGTAAAACCAGTCAAAATCATCTCAATTTCAGTAATATGTCTTCCATTCTATAAAATGAGACCAAGAAAACTAGAATACAACAATAAATACTATACGAAAATACACTGCAAAGTCGCTGATTTATTAAAAAAAAATGGAAAAAGTTTTTTTTTCTCATTATGCACCGTGTGCTGCAGGATTTTTTTAGACTGTGCACACTGACCACATAGACCCATTCTTTCATATGAAGGCCTACCAGCTTTCTCCCACTAGATTTGAGGTCGCTAGAATTTATGAGTACTAGTACGTCAAAAACCCCTACGCGTAAGACGTACTAGTACGACGAAAACCCTCAAAGGGTTAAACTGACCAAACGTAGATCTACGTCTTTTCAACATTTGAAAGTATGTAAAAAAATGTTGATCTTTTTTTTTTTTTTACATTTGAAAGTGTGTAAAAAAAACTTTGATCTTATTTTTTATGTACTATTTGAAAATATGTAAAAAAACGTAGATCTACTTTTGGAGCACTACACATGTGAACGTAGATCTATGTTTGGACAGTTTAAGGGTTAAATATAGCCATTGTCCTTTTCATAGGCTGGGTTCAGTAATTTTTCTGTATCATATATTAATTTGCTTTTATATGGCATTTTTGTTTGTGTGCTCACTCATGTTTTGTTGGTAATCTGTCCAAAAAATGTGGAATTTGTTTTTAAGTTCATTATTATTTATCTTGGCACAACTTTGAAATTAAAAATTAGCCAACATTTATTTTATTCAAAATATGTTGACTGTATTTCTCACATATTTCATTTATTTCTAGATAGTTTCTTGCAGATGCAAAAAACTGTATTAGAATATAACCTGAAGCGGAATAAACTGCAATATGTGACAATTGATGGAGGAAGAAACATCTCTGGGGTGAAGAAATCACCCTATGTTTCTGCATTGCGTTATCCATCAGCAAGCATTGTGCAGAAAATATATGAATATGTCTTGCATTCTAAAACTGTGGTTTCAACAGTGAATTTCATTCGATCTCATGGGTTTAATCATTGCCAGTTTCGTGATTTTCTGAAAGAGATTGATTCTGAGTTTGTTGACTTGCCTTATTATACAGCAGTTGGATGGCTTAGTTATGGCAAGGTTCTATCACAGTTCTTTTGGCTCAGAAAGGAAATTGATTAATTTCTCACAGAGAAGAATCGACCTGAACCACTTTTATCAAACACTGACTAACTTCAGAAACTGGCATATTTTGCAGACGTGACAAGCCATATGAATCAATTGAATCTGAAGTTGCCAGGTGAAACAAATTTGATTTGTGATCTTTTCATGCATGTCAAGGCGCTCAGGGCAAAATTAATGCTATTCGAACGACAAGTGAAAGTTTCTAACTTGGTTTGTTTCCCAGGTTGTGAAAAATTTCACAAAGAAAGCGAAGCAGAATTTCCTTTTTCATTTGCAACAGAAATTATTAATGACTTGTAAAAAACAGTTTTCTGAACTTGATAGAAAAATGGATGAAATAAAGCTGTAAAAATCCATTTGACTGCAGTGTTGAAACACTCCCAAGTCACTTTCAAATGGAAATTATTGGTCTTCAGTCAGGTGAACGTAAGTTTTGTAAACAAACAAAGTGTACACGTCTGGTTTGTGTACAAGTTACATTGTATACAAGTTGTCTCTACATGGATATGGTAGAATAAATAAAGAAGAACACTCCCATTCTCATGTAACACCATTTTTTTAGAAGAAATGAAGCTCTGAGTGTAGGCAATGGAAATAAGTCACAGTGACTTTTTTGGGTTATCCTAGGTTCTCTACACATATGCTGTTATGTATGATAATCTATGTAACTGTATTTGTGTATACCTGAATAAACTTACATGCATACAAAAGGAATAATTTTCTACAGTTACCCCCAGTAACACATTTTCTCTTATGTTAGATTAGAGAAAATGTTATTCTTGCCATCACTTGTACAAGTTGTCTGGCTATCACATCTCATATTTCTTTCTTTCAACACACCGGCCACATCCCACCAAGGCGGGGTGGCCCAAAAGGAAAAACGAAAGTTTCTCCTTTTACATTTAGTAATATATACAGGAGAAGAGGTTACTAGCCCCTTGCTCCTGGCATTTTAGTCGCCTCTTACAACACGCATGGCTTACGGAGGAAGAATTCTGTTCCACTACCCCATGGAGGTAAGAGGAAATAAACAAGAACAAGAACTAGAAAGAAAATAGAAGAAAACCCAGATGGGTGTGTATATATGTTTGTACATGTATGTGCAGTGTGACCCAAGTGCAAGTAGAAGTAGCAAGACATACCTGAAATCTTTCATGTTCATGAGACAAAAAAGGACACCAGCAATCCCACCATCATGTAAAACAATTACAGGGTTCCGTTTTACACTCGCTTGGCAGGACAGTAATACCTCCCTGGGCAGCTGCTGTCTACCAACCTACTACCTAGAACATCTCATATTTATGTTTATTTATTCTATTGTGGGGTGTATTTATCATCTTTATATGTTATGTATCGTGTTTATTATATAATTTTGAAAAAAATATCATGGATGGATTAATGAAAATGTGTATATTAACGTAATATATGACATTTAAATGAGACTCGGTGATTATTATCATTATTATTGTTATTTCTAATATGGCATCACTTGTGCAAGTCGTCTGGCTACCACATCTCATATTTATGTTTATTTATTCTACTGTAGGGTGTATTTATCATATTTATATGTTATGCATCGTGCTTATTATATAATTTTGAAAAAACATCATAGATGGATTAATGAAAATGTGTATATTAATGTAATATACGACATTTAAATGAGACTCGGTGATTATGGTTATCATTACTAATATGACGTCTCGAGACATAAGACACTGATTTTAATGTGTACCTGCACGCCAGCACAGTATGAAAGTTTATTTAGGTACAGGTATACATAAGTATAATTATCAGAGTATATATAAAATATGAAATAACTTTTAAAAACACTTGAAATTTTGGAGTTTCCAGACATAATGGAGAGACTTAGTGTTTACCGATCTCATGGACAATGTAAACAAACTGGGTTGGGCGTGGTGACTGTATTAGAAACTCAGGTGGGGGGAGCCGTATAGCGAGTTTTGGTCATAATTTGAAATGACCGTATTAGTGGAACACCGTAAAGCGAAACGCTGTAAAGCGGGGCCCTACTGTATATCTAATTTCCATCTCTGCAACTGTGTTTATATTACTGTCAATTTATCAAAGATTGTTTAACCCGTAAATGGCCCAAACGTATATATATGTTTTTTTCAGCATTTGAAAGTATGTAAAAAAAGTAGATCCTCTTTTTGTTTTTTACATTTGAAAATGTGTAAAAAACTTTGATCTACTTTTTTTTTGTTATATTTGAAAATATGTAAAAAAAACGTAGATCTACTTTTGTAGCACTACACATGTGAACGTAGATCTGCTTGGACCATTTATAGGTTAATATTGATTCCATCTATGCACAAATAACCCACACTCAGGAGGCTGAAACCCATGACAATGCCTCAGCCCGACTTGGACTGAAACCTGGTAGATGTATCCTTTGAATTCCTTTTAATGCATATTACTATATCTTTCCTTAGGAGCCTCCATGGATGGAAGTGTTCCATCCTACCCAACTTCTTCAACTAAAAAGCACGACTGGAACAAAATTGAAGCGGAAGTAAAGAAAGAGGAGGAAGAAGAGAAGCTGGAAGGTGATGCTGCACTAAACCAGCTCTTCCAGAATATTTATGGCCAAGGTTCAGATGAGACACGACGAGCAATGAACAAGTCATTTGTAAGTCCTTGAAGAATTTTATAGGAACATTTGTAAGGCAAGAGTAGCATACATTTGTTTTGGAGACCCAGCCAGGTCTGTATAGGAATATCAACTCTTAGATTTTGCTACTTAAACCTTCATGATTCTACTGTTCTTTGTCAGTCCAGTATATTTGCTATCACTCCCTTAACCAGGCATCTTTACAAATTTATCCAAAAAAGAGTTTCTTGTCTGGTCACACTGACATTAGTCTACTTTTCACTGTGATCAGTAAATGCATTTGTTGGTGCTTTGGTAAAGCACGGTAAAGTACACTATTGATAAAAAATAATTCACTCCTGTCATTGGTTAGTGACAGGGTCACTTATCATAAGCTACTCATGAGGTTTACAGTTTGCTCTACAAACTCCAAGTGGTAGAAGGACCATCTGGACCATCATCACTATCACTTGTCATTACAAAATGAATTCTCATTGCAGGACAATCATCATTCCTCAGATCTCCTTCCTTACAATTCTTTCAGGAATACAGGAAATATCCATAATCAACTCTAGCTTCCTTCTCTTATAGTTGCCACTCATTATTAGAGTAACGTGGCTAAAATCATGTTTGACCACTACAGTACTTCCATCAACAGTCTATCTGGCAAATTAGTGGTCACAGAGCTGAACCTACTTAACAGCAGTTCTGATATTGCTGACAGTTTGGCTAACTTTCATCAAATGCCTTATCTGCTGCTTTATGGCATGCTTATCCCTTCCTGTGTGTTTTCTTCCTTATTATATAAATTGTGCAGGGAATCACTAATCATATTCTTGTTGACGTCCCGTCTTTAAACAGGAATATGAGACACAACCCGCACATAGGAAAAAGAAATCTTATGACGACGTTTTGGTCCAGCTTGGACCATTAACCCTTAAACTGTCTAAACATTGATCTACATTTTCACTGCTAGTGCTCCAAATATTTTGAAAAACATCATAGTGAGTGTAAAACGAAAGCCTGTAATTGTTTTACATGATGGTAGGATTGCTGGTGTCTTTTGTCTGTCTCATAACTCTCCTTCGCCTACATTCCGCCCTCATTTTATCGAAACTTGATTATGGGGACCAGATCTATTCAGCGGCCTCTCCTGCTACTCTCTCTAGCCCTAACCCCATTCATCACCAAGGATTATGTTTATGCCTTGGTGCATTTCTCTCTTCCCCTGTTGAGAGCCTCTATGCAGAAGCGAACGTTCCATCATTATCTGATCGCCGTGATGCCCATTGCCTTCGCTACTATGTACACTCTCACAATCTCCGCAATCCTTCCATTTATAGAATGGTCACCGATATTAGTAGACATCCTTTATTTGTTTGCCGCCCCTGTTTGCTCCCTCCCTTTTCCTTTCACCTACATTCGCTCTTGTCTTCTCTTCAATTACCACCTCTCTGTGTTCATGTAGCATCTCACTTTTCCCTACCCCCCTGGGAAGTTCCAGCTGTTTGAGTCTGTTCTTTCTCACTCCCTTGCTCGAAAGCCCAACTGTCTACGGTAGCTTCCCGCTTTTTTTCTTGATCGCTTCCACTCTCATTCTCGTGCCATTGCAGTGTACACAGATGGCTCTAAGTCTTCTGACGGCGTAGGATTCCCAGCAATGTTTCCGGACAGCGTCGTACGAGGGCATTTACTATCTTTGGCTAGTATCTTTACTGCTGAATTGTATGCCATTCTTGCAGCACTTATCCGTATTGCATCTATGCCTATGTCATCATTTGTGGTTGTCTCAGACTCCCTTAGTGCTTTACAGCTATACAGAAATTTGATACACCTTACCCCTTAGTCCTCCGTATCCTACTCTGGCTACGCCGCATCTCTTCCAAGCATAAAGATATTGTTTTTTGTTGGGTCCCTGGTCATGTTGACGTACAGGGCAATGAACAGGCAGACACTGCTGCGCGGTCAGCAGTACATGACCTACCAGTTTCATATAGAGGTGTTCCATTTATGGATTTTGCTGCAATAGCTACCCACCTTCACACCCATTGGCAACAACGTTGGTCTACTCTGCTCGGTAACAAACTTCAGTCTATTAAACCGAGTATAGGTTGCTGGCCGTCTTCTTGTCACCAGTGCCGAGGTTGGGAGACTACTCTCTCCCGTCTTCGCATTGGCCATACTCATCTTACTCATGGTTATCTTATGGAGAGGTGCTCTGCTCCTCTCTCTGAGAACTGTCAGGTTCCATTATCTGTTAGCCACATTCTATTAGACTGCCCACTTTATCAACGAGCACGCAGAATATACCTCCAACGTCGTCTTCGCTCCGCTGCTCTCTTTTTACCTTCCCTTCTTGCTGATAGACCCACCTTTCATCCGGACTCTCTCATTGACTTTTTGACAACAACTGACTTACTTCACAGACTCTGATGATACCTTCAGCCCTTTCTACCTCAATCTCTTGCTGCCCTCTACCCCCGCACTATCCCCTGCCCCGCTGTTTTCTGTAACCTACTGATCATCCCTACCCCCTTCTGCCGCCCGATACCCTCGCTTCCTTCCCTACCCTGCAGCGCTGTATAGCCCTTGTGGCTTAGCGCTTCTTTTTTATTATAATAATAATAATAATCAGCTTGGTCAGGGTGATACTTTTCAACAAAACTTTGCAACTCATTCCACTTTGCACTTACGTCCTTAATCACTGAAGAAGGCACCTTCTTCCCTCTCTCTTCCTCCTCCTCTGAAGCAATTTCTCAGCTGCAGTCTGTTGCTGTTCTAGTTGAAGGTCTTGCAGCTCTTCAGTGGTTAGCTCTTCCCTGTGGTCCTCCACCAACTCTTCCACATTCTCGCTACTCACATCCAATCCCATGGACTTCCCCAGTGCCACAATAGATTACATAACAGCGTAGGGTCCTCAGGGTCAACCCCAAACCCTTCAAAATCCCTCTCTTGGGCACAATCTGGCCACAATTTTCTCCAAGCAGAGTTTAAAATCCTGGAAGTCACTCCCTGCCAAGCCTTACCTATAAGGCTTTTGCAATTGAGGATATTGAAGTGATTCCTCCAGAGCTCTCGTAGGGTCAAATGAGTGTCTGAGGTCACTTCAAAGCACCTTTGAAACACTGCTTTTGTGTAGAGTTTTTTGAAGTTAGAAATGACCTGCTGGTCCATGGGCTGGAGGAGAGGAGTGGTGTTAGGAGGCAAGAACTTCACTGTTATAAAATGGAAGTCCCTAAGCAATTGGTCTTCCAAGTCTGGAGGATGAGCAGGAGCATTGTCCAGTACCAGGAGGCACTTAAGTGACAATTTCTTTTCCAGGAGGTATTTTTTCACACTGGGACCAAACACATCATTGACCCACTCTTTGAAAATGTGCCTTGTGACCCATACCTTATTATTAGCTTTCCACATCACACACAATCTATTCTTGACGACATTGTTTTTCTTGAACACTGGGATTTTTCAGAGTGATACACCAGTCAAGGTTTCACTCTGAAATCCCCACTAGCATTAGCACACAACAAAAGAGTAAGCCTGTCTTTCATAGGCTTGTATCCTGGCATTGATTTTTCCTCTTGCATAATATAAGTCTTTGGCATTTTCTTCCAAAAGAGGCCTGTTTCGTCACAATTGAACACATGTTGGGGAGGAATCCTTCAGCCTCTACATACCCCTTGAATTCCTGCACAAATTTTTCAGCCACACATTTGTCAGAACTTGCAGCCTCCTCATGCCTTACCACACTGTGAATGTCACTACTCTTCTTAAATCTCTTAAACCAGCCATTGCTGGCCCTAAATTCACTAACAGCAGCACTTGTTCCAGGCATTTTCTTTACAAGATCCACATGCAACTGCCTTACCTTCTCACAAATCATCGATGACTCAACACTATCTCCCGCTAAATGTTTTTCGGGGATCCACAAAACCAACAACTTCTCCATATCTTCCATTATCGGTGACCTTTGTTTGGTTAGCACATTTACTCCTTTTGCCACATCAGCTTCCTTGATTTGTTCTTTCTTTGTCAAGATAGAAGTGATTGTTGATTTGTTTTTCCCATATATCCTGGCAAGTTCTAGGACCTGTACACCACTCTCATACTTTTCAACAACTTCTTTCTTGAAGAATTGAGACACTTACGCAACATATGAGAATCTCTATTGAAGAAACATTTCACCACACAGTGGCTTCGTCAGTCTTATACCAAGCAGGAAGGTATAAGGAGAGGAGTTTGAGGTAATCAGTCAAAACTTGATCAATCTTAGGACCAAGACCTACTTAGACTAGTGGATGGTTCCACTATGACCCTGCCGCCTCCTGCTTCACCTCACCTGACTACAGTATACAGTGGACCCCCGCATAACGCTATTAATCCGTTCCTGAGAGCTCAATGTTATGCGAAATTATCGTTATGCGAATTAATTTTCTCCATAAGAAATAATGGAAATCAAATTAATCCGTGCAAGACACCCAAAAGTATGAAAAAAAAATTTTACCACATGAAATATTAATTTCAATACACACAAACTTAAGAAAACATGCACAGTTACATGACACTTACCTTTATTGAAGATGTGGTGATGATTGATGGGATGGGAGGAGGGGAGACTGGATGGTTTTAGTGATTAGAAGGGGAATCCCCTTCCATTAGGACTTGAGGTATCAAGTCCTTTTCCGGGGTTGCTTCCCTTCTTCTTTTAATGCCACTAGGACCAGCTTCAGAGTCACTGGACTTCTGTCGCACAACATATCTGTCCATAGTGGCCTGTACCTCTCGTTCCTTTATGACTTTCCTAAAGTGTTTCACAACAGTGTCAGTGTAACAGTCACCAGCATGGCTTGCAATAGCTGTCTGAAGGTGATTTTCATCCATGAAGGTTTGCACTTTAAGCCACTTTGCACAGATTTCCTTAATCTTTGAAGTAGGCAACTTCTTCAATTTCTCTCTCTGAACTGGCAGCCTCACCATGCCTTATCACACTATGTATGCCACTATGCCTCTTAAATCTCTCAAACTAACCTTTGCTGGCCTTAAATTCACTCGCATCACCACTAGTTGCAGGCATTTTTCTAATTAAATCCTCGTGCAACTTCCTAGCCTTTTCACTTATGATCGCTTGAGAGATGCTATCGCCTGCTATCTGTTTTTTGTTTATCCACACCAATAACAGTCTCTCAACATCTTCTATCACTTGCAATCTCTGTTTCGAAAGCACATTAAACCTTTGGCAAGAACAGCTTCTTTGCTTGCCATTCTCTTGGACACAATAGAAGCGATGGTTGATTGGGGTTTACTATACAACCTGGCCAGCTCGGAGACACGCACTCCACTTTCATACTTAGCAATGATCTCTTTCTTCATCTCCATAGTAATTCTCACCCTTATTCCTGTAGGGTTGGCACTAGAAGCCTTCTTGGGGCCCATGGTCACTTATTTTTCAGGTGAAATCACTATAAAAAGGTTGTAATAATACAAAATGTTCCAATTGCATGCTTGAATGTTACTGCAGAGGCTGGCTTGTAAACAATGCCACTGGCAGAACAAGTGAGGCTGGCTCAGGCCGCATGGACGTGTCTCGGACGAATCGCGTTGAGCGAATTTTTTAACACTATGCGAAGCAAAATTTTATTGATAAAATGTATCGCTATGTGGATTTAACACTATGCGATGCCAACGTTATGCGGGGGTCCACTGTATAAGCCACTGCTATGGCCCTGTGCTGTACTTTCTACAAGATTGACGGACTGAACACATCAACTCTAGGCTGAGGGACTGATTACCTCAAACTCCTCCTCTCCTTATACCTTCCTACTTTGTATAAGACTGATGAAGCCACTGTGTGGCAAAAGATAAAGATTCCCATATGTTGCATAAGTGTCTCAATTCTTCAACTTGTCGGTTTTCAAAACCATTCATCACAATTTCTTTCTTAAATTCCATCGTGTTTCTCACTTTCTTTATCAAAGGAACTTTACTAGGAACTTTCTTGGGGCCATGGTTACTTATTTCCCAGTTGCACTTAATCAACAACCACGAAAATCAGAGAATTATAGCGAAATGTTTGGATGAATGAGCAGAAGCTTCCTCACTCGCCCAGAGACAAAGCCAGATTGATGTACAAGCGGTTGGCGGCGGTGGGTTGATGCGTACCATATGGCCGATAAGCGAAATAACGGCCGATAACTAGGAGCCGAAAACCCGGCCGATAACCGAGGGTCCACTATTTTTGAATGTTTATACAGTATTGTACTGTATATTGTTTTAAACAGAACGGAGGAAATCAGCTCTAATATACATTATTTACGTATGCATGCTGGTCAGAGAGCCTGTCATAAGTCCAGGATGTTGGTAAATGAGTACATCGCTAAGTGAGGAGAGGCTGTATATTAAACTCCTTGAAGTAAGGTATCAGACAAGAGTGTCACTGTACACTGCTGATGGTGTAGTTACTCATTATTGCTAATCTTGCACCGGTGAACCTTGGCATATGTTTCTTTATTTGTTCTCGCTGCTCCACACAAATAAACATGTCTGTCACTGGCGGGCTTTGCTGTGTCATTAATAGTGGTCCTTGTTGGAACTGTCTTCATTGGAATGTCTTGAATGGTCGATTCACATTTGTCTGATAAGAAGGAAAAAGAGTTGCTGGTTTTCACAGCAGTCTCTTGGACCTTCTTCAGCTTCAGCCTCATCCCTTCAGTTCCATCTAGGATCCAGTCATTGGTCCGATTATCAATGAGAAAGGTGTTCCAGGAATAATCCCTGCACATACCCTTCAGTTTTGAATTTCTCTTCTTGCTTCCACTAACTCTGCTTTAAGTTGAAGATATAGTTGCTCATAGTAGAGGGGAGCCATCATCACAGTCTCAGGTAGCTAAGAGCGGAGAGCACACTAGTCACATCTTGACAGGAGCAAGGTACCTGTCACCCCACGTTGTTGCCTCCCGCACTGAGAGAGATAATAGGATTTCTCCCATTACCTCTCATGATGATATTTAGATGGCTAACAATATCCTCTATCCCAGCCCCAAGAAAACTCACCTTCTGCCTCCTCTTCCTATCTATAAGACAAAAAGCTCTATCCATAAACTTAACTTGACTGTCCCCAGCTAAAACAATGTTCTTACCTTCACTGGCAGTATTCATTGTGACGTTCTTGATGGCTTTCCTTGGGATGGTCTTTGGTAGGGTGTCTAGGGTCGTCAACTTACACTCGTCTGCCAACACTGAAAAGGGAATTGCTGGTCACCACAGTGGTCTCCTTGACCTTCCCTAGCTTTAGTTTCGTTCCTTCCATTCCAGCCAACATCCAGTCATTGGTTCAATCATTGATATGGCTTTTCTTGATGACATTGTTATGGGGATAATCGTTGCACATTCCTTACAGTCATTGAATCTCTCTTCTAGCTTCCATTAACTCTTTCTTAAGCTAAATATATAGCTGCTTATAGTGAAGGGAAGCCATCATCACAATCTCAATAAGCTAAGACTGTAGAGCACACTAGATACGTCTTCACTTGGGCAAGGTTCATGTCACTTGTCTCCCTCCTTGCCTCCCTCTCTATTATATTTGATCATTGAAACTAAAATTTTGGGAAACTTTAAAAAAAAAATAGATTGGACAATTAGAAAGGTTGGATTTGAGTAGGACATGCCAACCATGTGCCAGTAGGCCTACTACAGTTCTCCTCTTTTGCGTGTTGTGTAAACAGTGAGGGAAGCATAAACTGCTAGATATGAAATTTATTTGTATATTTGAGTTGAAATATGATTACTGAGTGCAGTTTATACCTTGATGCACCAAAAAAGTAGGAATCTAGTTTGTAGTAGGCTCTCATTGTTAGAATTTCAGCCTTTAGAAAGTAGTATCCATGAATAAGTTTACCCCAGTCTTTTTGTTTAATTTGGTCTTAAATTCTCGACTTATATATGTCATTCCTTAGCCTTCAGTATTCAAATTTTTTTTTTTTTTTTTTTTTTTTTTTTTTAAATTTTTACCAGATGGAATCAGGTGGTACAGTTCTCAGCACAAACTGGAAAGAGGTGGCTAGTCAGAAAGTGGAAGTCAAACCCCCAGATGGCATGGAATATAAGAAATGGAATGCGTGAAGAATAGACAGCAGTGGCCAGTGTAGCACCAGGAGCCACCCCAGTGTAACACCAGGAGGAGCCACCTATTGTAGCACTGATTAGTGTTACACAAATTAATTGCTAGAATTATTTTTCTTTTTTATTAGTCAAGTTAGGTGTCCTGCACAAAGCCTACATTTTTCTAACGTGTGAAATGCTCTGAATCCTATTCGGCATTTTCTGTAATGCAATAAACTTGCGCATGTTTTACTAGCAGTTATCATAAACTGTTCTCGTAAATATTTCTGTTAACTACTTAAGAATTATATTATCGTTTAGAACCATCTTGCGCACAGAAAACTAGTTTGCTATGCAGTTTTTCTTTATAGAATAAATTACCTAGCACCAAGACATTGATCGGTAACTATTGCCATTTCCATTACCCAACTTAAAATTTCTGCATTGCTCTAAAAACCCTCTTCAATTTATAAATGTTTATTATAAAATAGCGAACAGCTCTTCTACTTGGAATGCAGTTAGTGTATATATATTGTAAGCAACAGCTAAACTCTACAGTAAAATAAAAGCATTATACATGAGATGTGACTAGTTCTGTACATTTTATGGACTACTGTAATTAAAAATTTTACCCATTATATTCACAAAAAAAAAGCCAATGTATTTGGCAATTTTTTTTGTTTGTCAGTTTGGGATTTTTTTTTTAATTGGCACTTGCAGGAAGCCTGGGTATGCATATTATGAATTTTATTTTACAGTATTTTGTCTTAGTGTTCCAAAAGTTAAATTGTAGGGAAAACAGTTACATTTTGTCAATAGCTTAATTTGATTATTTTTGTGATGTGCAACTAATTTTGCCATGGAAGATGATTGTAACAATAATAATAACGAAGTGCTGAACCTACTAGGGTCATACAGAGCTGTGCCATGGAAGATGTCAGTTAAAACTGAATAATTTAAGATTATTAATCAGCACAGTGACTAACATGGCTTTCATTGACTAGGATGGTTTTCAGCCTGCTGTGATTTATTTCATATCTGAAAGTAAATTTGTGACTTTGTGCATTTAGTTTTCCACTTGTTTTATATAAACATTTTCCCAGTCACATTACTGATTAAAAGGAATCAAATAGTCATGGAGTTTTGTAAAAGCTTATCTTCTAGTGATATGTCATTTGTAACAAATGTATAAAATTAAACTGTTTTTATTATCCCAATTAGCAGATTATGGTATTCAATGGTTATGTGCCCCTTCGAGAAGGGTCCCTTGTTGAGGTGAAGGGACTTACGACCCAAGGAATTGGACCTAATCTCCATTCTCGGATCAAAACTAGTTACCCCCAACTCTTTCCATCCTCTCCTACCCATCAGGCCTTTGGTTTATTATTATAATCAAGGGGGAAGCACTACACCCATAGGATTATACAGCATCAGGCCTTTGGAGATACATACTTCCCTTGTACACCCCTCAAGGGAGGTTCCTTATGCTGGTGAGGGGCTCTCGATCTAGGGAATTGGATCTGTGCTCTCATCTCAGTACCTTCCATCCCTCCCACATGCACTGTATAATCCTACGGGTTTAGCGCTCCTCATGATTATACATGTAATAATTATATTATTATTATAAAAAAGAAGTGCTAAACCACAAGGGCTATACAGCGCTGCAGGGCAGGAAGGAAGCGAGGGTATCAGGTGGCAAAAGGGAGATGGATGAGTGGTAGGTTATGGAGAACAGCGGGGCAGTGGATAGTGAAAGGGTAGAGGGCAGCAAGAGATTGAGGTAGAAAGGGCTGAGGGGAGTGCAAAAGGTATCATCATCAGAGTTTGTGGAGTAAGTCGGTCGTCAAGAAGTCAATGAGAGAGTCAGGATTAAAGGAGGGTCCATCAGCAAGACGGGAAGGTAAAGAGAGAGTAGTAGAGCAGAGACGACGACGACAGGTAAATTCTGCATGCTCATCGATAGAGAGGGCAGTCTAACAGAATGTGGCTAATCGATACTGGAACTTTACACTTCTCAGAGAGAGGAACTGGGTGCCTCTCCATGAGATACACATGACTAAGACGAGTGTGGCCAATGCGAAGGCGGGAGAGAGTAGTCTCCCAACCTCGGCACTGATGACAAGAAGATGGCCAGTAACCTATGCTCAGTTTAATAGAATGAAGTTTGTTACCGAGTAGAGTTGACCAACGTTGTTGCCAACGGGTGTGAAGGTGGGTAGCTATTACAGCAAAATAGTCCGGAAATGGAACACCTCTATATGAAATTGGTAGGTCATGTACTGCTGACTGTGCAGCAGTGTCTGCCTGTTTATTGCCCTGTAAGTCAATATATATGACCAGGGACCCATCAAAAAACTATCTTTATCCTTGGTAGAGATACGGCATAGCCACAGTTGGATATGGAGAACTAGGGGGTGAGGTGTATCAAATTTCCGTATAGCTTGTAAAGCACTAAGGGAGTCTGAGACAACCACAAATGATGACACAGGCATAGATGCGATACGAATAAGTGCTGCAAGAATGGCATACAATTCAACAGTAAAAATGCTAGCTGAAGATAGTAAATGCCCTCACACAACGCTGTCTGGAAACACTGCTGCGAATACGACGCTGTCAGAAGACTGTAACTGATTTCATCAACAATATGAACAACGCACTTCTCATACTAACAACAACTAAACCAACCAGGCTGACTGAGACAAGTACAACCATAATAGACCACATATGGACCAATATACTAGCCCCCCTTAAATCAGGGATAATCACAGACAGCACTACTGACCACTATCCAACCTTCCTCTTAAACATTAGTAAGCCACCACTCGAATACAACAAAGTTTCATTTAGACTCCTTGACGAGGCCTCAGTAAGGAATTTCACAGCAGACCTAGAGACTGTTGACTGGCCTACAGAATTCTCCAATGCCAATGGTATTGACGATTGGACAGACATTTTTCTTTACAAAATACTTAGACTATACAACAAACATTGTCCTATAAAAACGAAACCACGAATAAACGGCTTGGTTGCCCATGGCTAACCAGCAGCATTCTGAAATCTATTGATAAGAAACACCAATATGAAAAGCAATATAGACAGGGCTTAATATACAAAGATATTCTTAAACAACATTCAACAGCTCTCACCAAATTAATAAAGAAAGCCAAACAACTGTACAACTCCAGCAAATTCACTGACACAGGAGGAGATATAAAAAGACCTGGAAAACACTCCCAGATTCTGGGAACCCACAAACTGAAAAAAAACAAGAATATTCTAACTAAACCTCATGAAACACCACTGCATCCCACTGATACACCTAACAAGATAAACGACTTCTTCTCAAACATAGAATCTAATCTCGCCAGTAAAATCCCACGTACCAATGCCCGTGCCAGGGACTACCTAGATGGGAATTTCCCAAATTCCTTCTGTCTTGTACCAACTGAGCCCACGGAAGTCACCGCGATCATAAAGTCACTTAAAAATAACTCGGGGAATCTGTCTCACGCCCCACCATTATTGTACAAGCGAGCGGCCCATGTCCTTTCGCATGCTATTACATTACTTTTTAACAAGTCACTAGAAACTAGCACTTTCCCGACACTACTCAAGACAGCAAGGGTTACACCAATACATAAAGGTGGTGACCCTACAGACGTAAACAACTATAGGCCAATATCAAATTTACCATTGCTATCCAAAATCTTGGAGAAACTCGTGCACAGGAGACTATATTCATTTATAACGTCACAATACATAACCCCTGCCAATTTGGATTCAGGAAAAATAAAAGCACTAATGATGCAATTATAAAAATGCTAGACCTGCTTTACAAAGCATTGGAAAATAAGGAATATCCGCTAGGAATTTTTATTGACCTAAGTGCTGTATAGCCCTTGTGGCTTAGCGCTTCTTTTTGATTATAATAATAATATTGACCTAAGAAAAGCGTTTGACACAGTAGACCATGGCATCCTACTCCACAAACTTGACCACTATGGTATAATTTATTATTATTATTATAATCAAGGGGGAAGCGCTAAACCCGGAGGATTATACAGCGCCTGGGGGGGGGATGTGGAAGGCATTCAGGCTTAATTCGGGGAACTGGAGCACAGATCCAATTCCCTAAATCAAGAGCCCCTCACCAACATCAAGGAACCTTCCTTGAGGGGACTATGGTATAAGAGGCCATGTGCTTGCATATTTTAAATCCTACCTTTCTAATAGGTATCAGTATGTCACCATTAAAGACACAGCCTCATCAATACGGCCATTTGATACTGGAGTTCCGCAGGGAAGTGTCCTTGGACCCCTGCTCTTCCTCATTTACATCAATGATCTTCCAAACATATCCCAACACCTGAAACCCATTCTCTTTGCTGATGACACGACTTATGTCATCTCCCACCTTAATCTTGCCACCTCAACACATTGTTAACGAGGAGCTGCTCAAAATATCGACTTGGATGACAGCCAATAAACTTACACTTAACACTGGCAATACCTACTATATTATGTTTGGTAGCAGAGCAGGTGTTGCGCAACTTAACATTAAGATCGACAACACTCTAATTGCCAGACATAATGAGGGCAAATTCCTTTGCCTATACCTCGACAACAACCTAAATTTCAGCACCCATATCCAACACATAACAAAAAAAGTATCCAAAACGGTAGGGATCCTCTCCAAGATACGATACTACGTACCGCAAACTGCCCTTCTCACACTATACCATTCACTTATATATCCATACCTCACTATGCTATCTGTGCTTGGGGTTCAACTGCAGCAACACACCTAAAGCCAATAATAACCCAACAAAAAGCCGCAGTAAGAATAATCACTAAATCCCATCCCTGGCAAAACCCCTCCCCACTCTTCATAGATCTAAACTTACTCCCTGTTCAGAACATCCACACTTGCTACTGTGCAATCTATATCTAAAGGACCTTAAATTCCAATATTAACCTTGACCTAAAATGCTTTCTTGATAGTTGTGACAGGATCCACAGGCATAACACCATACACAAACATCTCTATGACATTCCCCGTGTTCGACTATACCTTTACAAAAAATCAATGTATTTCAAAGGACCTAAAATCAGAAACGCCCTACCTGAAAACTCTAGAACCGCAGACACATTCATCATTTTCAAAACTACAGTTAGAAAACATCTTATCTCCCTGATCCACCCCAACAACTAACTACATGATCACCACCTGGTGGTTCACAATTACACTCACTCACCCACTGACTATAAACCCAGAAATACTAATCTTAATCTTAAAATAATAAATCCCAACTAGTCATAAGTTTGCCTATGATACTCAAATATAGACACCTTGTATTGTGCCAAAACAAAAGCATTCACATTGCTAAACTCACAAATTATGATGTAGTCACTTAGCCTTAATAATCTGTAAGGATTTAATGTTAAGAATTAATCTAAGTCTGCTCGAAATGCCTAGCCATGCTAGGTGTCCTAGTGGCCCCCTCTGAAATTAGTATTTTATAACATGTAAACCACAAAATACCCAAAACCTGTAAACCCCACATTGTAACCATTATAGAGAATTAACTTGAATTGAATTGAATTAGAGCCATTTGTGTACACTGCGATGGCATGAGAATAAGAGTGGAAGTGGTCAAGAAAAAGAGAGCGGGAAGCCACCATAGGCAGTTGGGCTTTCGGGCAAGGGAGTGAGAAAGAACAGACCCGAACAGCTGGAACTTCCCAGGGTGGTAGGGAAAAGTGAGATGCTACATGAACATATAAAGGTGGTAACTGAAGGGAAGACAAGAGTGAATGTAGGCGAAGAGAGAAGGGATGGAGCAAACAGAGGCAGCGAACAAATAATGTCTAGTAAGATTGGTGACCATTCTATAAATGGAAGGATTGCGGAGATCGTGAGAGCGTACATAGTAGCGAAGGCAATGGGCATCACGGCAATCAAACAAGGATGGAACATTCGCTTCTGCATAGAGGCTCTGGACAGGGAAAGAGCGAAAAGCACCAAGGCATAAACATAATCCTTGGTGATGGATGGGGTTAAAGCTAGAGAGAGTAGCAGGAGAGGCCGCTGAATAATTCTGGTCACCATAATCGAGTTTCGATAAAATGAGGGCTGAATGTAATAATAATAATATCTTTATTTTACTACAAGTACATGTACAGGGTATACAGTCCTAGC